CGGTTCATATGTGTGTGTTGTAGCGATACAATGGTTTCTGGTGGCTGTAATATCATTAAACCGTCCTGGGACCTACCATACCTGCCATCGTTTACTTTATCTAGGTAGAGAGACCGTACAATAGTGGTATACTGGGTAGCTGCCCTAACAAAACGGTACCACTCAATACTACTCAGAAGGTTAAAATTTTCTATCACTACCAGCCCATCTTTTGCTCTGGAGAGCGCTACTGTGATGCGAGCCGGATTTAAAAAGAAATCTAGGTTGCGGTCTGACTCTTCACTGAAAAAGTCCCTTGTTGTTACAAGTATTACAATTTGTGCCTCTTGATCTTGGAACTGATCAGTTGTGTGCACCGTACATTTTCTGTCCTTTAGGGCCAGTTCCAGAACGCGCTTTGTGCCGCTATAGAAGCACAATACTACCACCGATACGCGAGGAAGATGTATCTCGAATAACCGTACAAACTCCTGGACCATCTCCTCATGCATGGCGTTAGTGCGGGACTTCATCAGGTCCACAGCGTCTCCACTGGCCTGATGAAGCAGCACCATTGGGATGTCCGTTACCGGTAAAAGGAAACTGGACGCTGTGAGCAAGTGCAGTCACTGGATCGCAGAGCACTCTTAAGTTTACCTTCATAGGCCATCTCTGTAAGGCAGTGCGTCAACAATAGATGCGCCCGAAAACTTACCGATAACTCGAAAACTGGAATCTCGCCTCGGTCGATGATGGAATTGATAACCCCCGCGCTCCATAAGGAACTAACGGATCTGGAACTAGCGCCCTGTATGGTGGGAGTTGCTTCATATCACCCGTGATGAATAACTGTTTTAAATTTGGAAGTCCTGCACATAGTACCAATAACTGACTCTCTGGAATCATCAATTATCAAGCGGGTGATATCTTCCTGGAGACGCGAAAATACTCCCTCGAACATGTCAATGGTTCCTGCGATTATGGCAGGTGGCTTTTGCTCCATTGTGATCCGTAACGCCCTAGAGTCATTAGCCTTCAAGCCCTTGTGGGGCAGACGCCGTTTAAAATAGCTGTTTACAAACGACCGGTCCTCCGGCTTATAGCACCAGCTTTCCTAGGTCTGTATATTCCCTCATGTAGTCTAGTCTTTGTCCAATAATTGGGATCCGGATCATTTGGATGCGGGAAGACGAGCTCCGCTTTTGTGGATTGTAAGAAGCACATATCATCATCCTGCAACTCTGGAACATTGGCCAAGACGGTATTAGTTGCATTTATTACCGCAATATTAGTTATGGCTGCAACCAGCAATATTTCATCTTCCTCCTGGTGCTGCAAAAGCTCCTTCATGGATGCTCCTACAACGCAACTTTATCTGTCCCTGCTGGGGTTTGTTGAAACAAGACCGGTATGTTACGCAATAGAGCTTCCGCTACCTCCACCTGCTCCTTGGTTAGAACAGCAGCAGTTTGTGCTGAAACTTGGAAATGTTGGTAGAGTGTAGAGTACTCCGGTTCAATTCCTAGAAGGACCTCCAAGGTGTGGACATAGGGAGTTCTCAATCGGAGACAAGACTCGACCACCTTATTTTTAAACTGCTTGATACGAAATTCGAAACCTGTATAAGCATCGTCCGACTGCACCGCCATATGAATAAATTCTACATTTCCTAGGGCTTACATGTCCTGAGGATAGAATCTCAACGCTACCTCCATATTTCCATTCTCGTCCCACTGCGCGCCTTTTATCATCGCTCGCAGCATGCATTCAGAGTCGGGCAGTCCCACCAGCATAATTGTCGATTCCTCCCAAAACTTTAGTCTATGGGCTAGCAATTGGGGATCTCTTGCAGCAGATATCTGCATGACGAAGTCCCTATTACTCGTTCGTCTCGCCATACCCGTAAATGCCGTAATGTCCATGACACGCGTTGATCCCTTTTGACATATGAGCATACAGCCAGAAGAGTGTTTTCATATCTAAAAATTTCTTGAGCCGGTGATGCTGAATTGTCCCGTCCTTGAAAGGGATTAATCTTAAATGATGCTTATCCTTGAGGCGAATTTGCGCTAACATACTTGTGCTGCCCGGCTGTGTTACGTGCGCCGTGCTTGCTTCTTTATGGTAACGAGCCGGCAAGATGAAACTTGTTCCTATGTGGACACCCATTGATAAAATTACCTGACGAGTTCATATTAGAAAACCTGCGCGTGGTGCCCAATTGTCGTTCCATGCCACTTGGTGAGGCCGTGCCATTGAGTCAGCGTCATGGTACCGACTAATGAATTGGAGGCGGTCGTTTTTCAGTTCTGAAGGCGTTGCTAGCACCGCCGGAAAATAATTACTTTCATAGCTGTTGCAAGTATCTACATACCCGTCTACAACGATAGCCGAAGCCCTTGGGGAAGTGCTTGACATAATAGTACCCACGCCTGTATCATAATAGTTTTTACATTCTTGAAGTGTGCCATTGAGTACTACTATTGCGAATCGTTTTACCTTGACGTGATCACCTACATGCAGCTTGTTTAAAGCTCCGTCTTCAAAAGAGTATTCTATGCTGCTATCGCGGTTTAAGGCCAGCATTGCTGGTGCTTTACGAAATAAATCTAGTTGTTGTTCAGGGTGTATTACTACATTAGCATACTGGTCTAGCACTTGCGCTACTACGTATGTTACCATATGTGAAAACGCACACGATGCAGTATATGCTAACGGGATGTGAAACTGGAGGGTATTACCTCCGAAGAGCTGCCCTGCCTAACACAGCCCCATTCTTCTTGTGTGTCCTGAGACGGTATTCTAATGCCTGAACGTAATTCGTGTGTTACGTTAGACGTACTACACCAGTAGGCGCTGCCATCGGATTTTTGCGCTGGACTACTTTCGTCTGTCCGGGACGTGACATTTGAGAAGGAAGCCATACCTGATTAGGTGTAAATTATCACGGAAGAAAAGGAAAAAAGGAAAAATGAAGGCTGAAGCAGGAGAGAGAGAAAAAAACTATGTCGATTTTGTCGAGAGAGACGCTTCATACCGAAGTCTTCGATAAGGCGATATATTTGAAATGATGCGATTACTTTGTTAGCTAGAGGGAGGTAAAGCGGGAGAAGGGGGAATGATGCCGCCTATTGTCTATAGATTGCCCTATGACACTACCATATTGAGCCCAGATGTTACAGTGCCCGTTGTTTGGGCTATGCTACCGACCGGATCCTGCTGTTCAACACCTCCTGATACGCGTTTCGGACCCCATTGTTCAGCATTTCCTAATAAGCGCTGCAGCATCTCCTAATACGCATTTCCCCCTCTTTTTTTTTAACAGATGAATTTGTGGATTTTTAGGTTGCTGAGATATTTTTAGATTGCTGAGATAGATGGATTTTTTTTAATAGATGGATTTGTAACTGTTGAAATATTAGATAAAATGTGACTCATAAGTATGTCAGGTAAAAAAAAAAAGATATGTCTACAATTTGAAGATACTTACTATTAGACTGTAAATCGTTGCCTGACTAGCTAATGTTTTTCTGGGAGCGAAGATTATAGCTATGACTTTTTATCGTATTTTGGCACCCCACGCTTTGCTCAGCGTTTTATTACCACTCTCGGGTATATCATAAAGATAGCCGGGAATAGTTGGTTGCGGTCTAGCTCTACAATTGTCCAACACATCCCGTTCTTCCCCAGGCAGTGCCGATAAGAACTGGTAGGAGACGAACTGCATGTAGACGATCGCGGCCGCTCAAAGAGACAGACGATTTGTAGTAAATTCTGGATGTCCAGTCGGGCGTACTGAAGGAAGTTCCGGATCAAAGTCCCAGATGTGTATCTGACGAAATCCCAAAAAAGACCCAGAATGAAAAAACCAGGGGCAATATAGGAGAGATTGGTCCTGTCCCTAAGAGGAGTAGTCCCGCCATGTTTACCCCCTTTGTATCCAGCTGTAGTTACTGGATATAAAAACACACTAATCATTTTACAAAAGTACATGTCAGCTCTGGCTTTTGTATTTATGAAAATCCCATGGGAGATAGAGGGGTGGTTACGGTATGGATGGGAAAAAAGAAAAAGAAAAACAAAAGGGGGAATTTGGAAAATGGTTTTTTTGTTTAAGGGGCTAACAATGAGTGAATAATTTTACATAAGGAAAACTCGTGCCACCCCGGAAGAGAAGAAATGTTAGTCATTCCGGTAAAGTAGAAGATGGCATCAGACAAGATGCCATGAAAAAGTGCTGTTTGTTGGGAAATAGAGCTAAAATAAAAGTGTTAATGATGAGAGAGATAAAGAAGGAATGACTAACATTATGAAGGGTGTACGGTAGTGACTCACTGTACAGAAAGGAGGAGTGTTATATAAAGACTAGGGGACGTT